AAGCCCGCCCCACCCCCCCCAACCCCCCCCCCCCAAGTCCCAGAGACAGAATACACATTTTTAAAGAGGGGACTAAAAACTGAACATTAGTAACAAACTAGCAACAACAATAGTGTGTGTGCACGCCTGTGCACCCCCCCCATACATGTGCAGAGTGCATTTCCTTCTTTTCCTCTGTGCATTGCACAAAGGCAGAGATTGGGGGCAAGGTCTGAGACGTAGAGTGTCCTGGATATGAAGACAGGATTTCCAAACGAGATCTTCCTGTTCCTGTCCCACCCCAAAGTGCAAAACCTCATTCCAGATCTGGGAGAGAAACCTTCAGCGTCAGGATCCACGGCCAACCACAGAGAAAGGGTGCCCTGGAAGCCCCCGGGGCTCCCCCCCCCGCTACACGCAGCCAGGAGCACCCAAGGAAAGGGAAGGGGGGGTCCTCCCGCCCTCCCCTCCCCTCCCCAATGAACATGGCAGGGCCAAGCGATCAGTTGTCCGCCTGGCCTGAAAAACTAATCTGGCCACGGAGCCCCATTGTTCTGCACGGAGGAGGAACACGCTGGCCCTGGTGAAGCACACCTGGGCTGGCCGGCTGCGTGCCGGGGGGGGGGGAATGAGACACTCTCCTGCAATAAGCATCAACCAGGACAGAGTCCTGTGGAGGGTTGGGGTTTTTTTTAATAAAAGGAAGAGATCCCTCCCTGACGATGGCTTCTACCCTTCCTTCCATCCCTCCGGCCATAATTACGAGGCCTGTTGAAGCTGTCCCTGGTGCTTCCGCAGCCAGGTGTGTTGGCAGAGGCACCCCATGAGTTGGGGGCGGGGGGAGACCAGGATGCTGCCAGGTTGCCTGGAGAGACTCTGTAGCAAGTCAGAACTCACAGACACTCCCCAATCCCCCCTCACACCCCCCCCCCAGGATTCTGAGTTCTGAAATTTGGCTGGGGTTATCTTCCCCACCCGCTTGGTCAGTCTGGAGCACTGCATGCTGGGACATGTAGTTCCCACAAGCTTCCCCACAGCTTCACCCACCAGGAATGGAGACCACAGACTGCATCTCCTTCTTCGCTACTAATAGGTCTGGCAAGATAGCCTGTGTTCATTAAGCGCCTCAGATGAAAATGTACTCACAGGCACCGATTTCCCAGTAACTGGAGGAACATTAGGTAGATGAGGTGTATATGAACCTGGCACCTGCTTGCTGGAGCACCTCCCCCCCCCCCACCTACCCAGGGGGGTGCCTTTGGGGCTGGACTGTGCACCAGGCCCTTTCCAGTGACTCGCTCTGCACCCTCCCACCCCCCACTGGGCCACCCCTCGGTGCTCACCCCTTGGCTGGCCTCCAGCTGTACCCAGGCCACAGGGAAGGGGCGGGGGCGGGGACAAAGGCCTGCCCCCGGCAGGCCGTGTGCAGGAATCCATCCGGAGGTGGGCAACGCCAGCATCTGCGTTGCCAGGGGAACAGAGCCTCCTTGGCATCTCCCTGCTGCCTGCCTGCCCACGTGTGGAGAAAGGCCTGGCAGCAGGTGGAGGGAGGGGAGAGGGGTTGTGCACACACAGACACAGACACACACACACACACAGGAAGCCAAGGACCGCTGTGTTTATTCCTGAAGATAAACCGCCTTTGTCTCCTGCCCTGGGGCCTCCCCGGAGGCTGAGGGAGGGGAGGTCAGAGACTCTGACACAAAAGGGCAAATTCTTCCCTCCGTCTCTCTGCAGGCAACGGGTGGGAGGGGCAGGGGGCGCCCCCCCCCTCGCTGAGTGCAGCTAGCCTCCCCCAAGCTCCCCCCCCTCCTGAGGCCTCCTGAGGCCAGCAAACGCCGGTCCGGTAGTGCCCTGCTGCCATGCGATGCCAGGCCAGACAGCCTGGGCAACTCAAGGGAGGAGGCGCGGGGCCAGACCTTTCCAAGTTACCCAGGGAATCCAGCAGCCCCAGAGCTACCCCACCAGCAGCGGGGCTGTGCTTCATCCGACCCACCTTGGAGGTGGGCTCAGCCCCACCCGGGATGTCTGCTTGAACCAGGCACGCCCCCCCCCCCCGCGGGGTATAAATCCAATCTCTTCTTCTTCTTCTCTTCTAACCAGGTTGCCAACTCACTGGGGTTGTGAAATCCCTGGAGATCTGGGGGTGGGACCCAGGGAGGGTTTGGTTTGGTTTGGGGAGGGGGGAGACCTCAGGCGGGTCTAAGGCCACAGAGTTTGCCCTCCAAAGCAGTCGTGTTATCTGGGGGAGCTGATCTTTGTAGCCTCTGGAGACTGGCTGCCATTCCAGGAAGTCTCCAGGCCCCACCTGGAGGCTGAAGCAACCCGAGCTGCAGTGTTAGGAGAGGGTGGGGGTGGCCTCTCACCCGTGAGCCTGGGGGGCGGGGGGGGCCTGCTCAAGAGGCTGGATTACTTCATCACCTTGAAAGCCGCTTATCTTGCTTTGCAAAACACCCAGGCCCTTCCGCGGAGCAGACTCCTCCACACCACACCCACATGCACACACACACAGGGACCCGGCCCAAGTGGAGGATTTGGGGGGGGGGTCCCCCTGGGCCTAGACTGCCGGGGTGCCTGACCTCCTGCAAGGGAGGCAGCCCCTAACCCCAGCCCACACCCAGGAGGGGCTCTTGCTGCCGGGGGCTGCCCCCCCTCTCCTCTCTCCCCTCCTACACCCGGGCCCCATGGCCTCTCTGATGGCGGAAAGAGAGACTGATCCTGCACAGCCCCCCCCCCCCCCCCCCACGGCCCTGCTTCACAGAGTGCCCCTTTCCTTCATGAAAGGGACGAGGGAGGGAGGGAGGGAGGGAATCAGCCCTGGGGCAGAGGATGGAATTGCCAGCCAGTCACCCAAGCCGCCAGACTCAGAGGCCCAGCCACCCCTCCCCCAGGCTTTTGCTCAGGCTTCCTTCCCCCCCCGCAGGGGGCGGGGCTTTGCTGCTCCCCCCCCCCCAGGCCTGGCAGTCGGTGCCCCCTTTGCGGGGGCCATCCCCTCCCGCTCAGATGCCCACCTTGCTGCTTGACAGTGCTGCGAGCACACACACACCCCCGTTTCAGGTTATGAAACTGGACTGTGCGGGAAATGTGGCATCTCTCATGGTGCCATCTGCTGAATGCCAGGGTGGCACAGGGTGCCGAGGCAGGCTTGGAAGTCTGAGGCTAAGCTGGCTCAGCGGGCACCGGGGAGGGACTTGCCTCTCAGGCCCAGGAAGGGACCAAACCCCCATCGCCGGGTCTCTCCCTAGCTGCACAGCAGCCCAGAAAGGGCAGCGCCACACGGCCACTTTCAGGACCTCGGAAAAGTTCAAACACCAAAGAGTTCGTGGCCAATCCTCCCGCTAAGCTGTGGGGTCCTGAGAGCAAAAATTCTGCTTTGTGAGCTACCAGCATTGAAGTGGTGAGCGAGCGATGTGGCTGCTGCATAAATTAGTTTGCTCTGGAGCCCCACCCTTCCTGAGCTGAGGCAAGAATGTATGAGCTGGAGGCTAAAAAACTGTGAGCTAGCTCACACCAACTCAGCTTAGAGGGAACACTGTTCATGGCCAGTTTTAGTGCTGCAATCAGTTGTTTCTTCTCTGGCCACAGAGGGCGGGGAAGGAACGCCCCCCTGCCATTCCCCACAAGCCTCCCCGGCCAGCCGCGGGGAAACAGCTCCCATCGGTCGAGGGGCAGCATCCAGCCAAGCATTTCCCACTGCAGACCCCCGAGGGACACCCAGCCTGGAGGGGAGGGGAGGGGCAGCCTCTCCAAAGGAAGCCACCGGCAAGAGCTGCCAGCTTCAGTGACGCAGCCCCAGCAGCCCAGCTGCCCACAGCAGAAAACACGCCGGCTGCCTAGTCACCACCGTTTGATCCCCTCCTTCAGTGACGCAGCAGCGTTGATCCTCACAACAGCCCTGTGAGGTAGAGTCAGCTGAGAGGGGGGGTGGGGTGGGGCAGAGGGGGGCGGAGAAGGCCCCGCCCCTGTCCTTTGGCGCCGAGGCCTTGGCGGGGCCCCCAGCTGGGACACAGAAGCCAGGCCGGCCACCCTTACCTCTGCAGCTGCCGTCCCCGTCCTTCTGGTGGCCCTGGCGGCAGAGGCACGCCCCGATGGGCACCAGCCACTCCCCGTCCGAATTGCAGTGCATGGTGGGCTCCACGTCCGCCACCGCGTCCGGCACGCACGCTCCCCGCACCTTGGCCAAAGCCTGCGAGTCGGCACCGGCGATGGTCTCGGGGAACTGGGCCATGCCGTGGAGGACGCCGGGGCACTTCTTGTAGTAGATCCGGACGGAGAGGAGGGCCACGCAGGCCCCGATGTCCTGGAAGGCCACGTAGAAGCCCTTGCGCCCGAGGGGCCCGACCGAGCGCACCTCCACGTTGATCTTGACGTTGCGGGCGGCAAAGTCCTCGCGCACGGTGATCTCGTCGGGGGCAATGGTGTCGATCTTGCGGAACTGCCGCTTCTGGAAGTTGGTGCCGTAGTCCACGTCCGACTCCGCGTAGTAGAGGTTGAAGGTTTCCTTGCAGGCGCCCGTCCCACTGGGGAAGCTGTTGCAGTCCCGGACGGTGAAGTGGAGCTCAATGAAGATGCGCTCTGCTTCCCCGCGGTAGATATAGTTGGTCCTCAGCCAGTTGTCCTGATCGCCCTCCATCACGTTGCAGACCGAATAGATGTAGATGAGGGTCTCGTTCATCACGTTCTGGAGAAGGTCCCACTGGCGGAGGGGGGAGGAGGAGGAGGAGGAGAGGATTGGTGCCCTTAAGGACCTTCTCTTCATGCAGTGCAGGAATAACCTGTGGAACTCATTGCCACAGGACTCCGGGCAGACCGTAGCAAGAATAGCACGAGGTGGCGATAGGCAGAGTGGGCATGAGGCTGTCCTCCAACGGGTCAGGGCCCCCTCCCCCCGTCTTTCAAGCTCTGCTCTGACTAGCAACCCCTCTTTCTCTTCTCACCCCCCCCCCCAATCCTTTTCTAAAATGAAAAAGGGAGAGCGACAGAAGCCGCTTTGGGCTCCCACTGAGAACAAGGGCAGGTGAAAAAGTGAATAAACCAAGAAGTAACTCCGAAACTGGGCAGGCGGGGGGGGGGGCTTTCCCTCCCCTCACTTGTGCCCAGCGGCAGGGGGCATTTAGGTGGGCCCTGGCTGCATGCCCAGCTTTTGTTTGGTTCTCAGGACTAACAGCCAAAGATACATCTGCCTTTCATCAATGTGTCTAAGCCATTTAAACAGCCACATGCTAATATCACCCCTCACAGGTGCCAATTCCAGACATAAGTAGTATTTTTTGAAGAATAATGTTTATTCATTTGCTTCATTTATACCCAATGAGGACAGGAGCCAGCGTGGTTTACCTGGTTCCCCTTTCCTCCGGTTCATCCTCCCAACAAGCTTGTGAGGAAGGCTAGCCTGAGAGAGCGGGTGACGGGCCCCAGGTCACCCAGCAAGCCTCCATGGCTCAAGTGGCGATTTGAACTCCGGCAAGAGGGAACGGGATAAACATCTGGAGCAGACGTCCGTCAGTGGCTCTTAGGCACAAGGTATAGACAGGAACTCTCAATCTGGGGGCAAGGGATGCTCTGTCTTCTTGGTGCTTGCGGGGGGGGGCGACAGTGGGAGGGCTTCTGGTGTCCCGGCCCCACTGCTGGACCTCCTGAGGGCCCCTGGTGTTTTTGGCCACTGTGTGACACAATGAGTGTTGGACTGGAGGAGCCACTGGCCTGATCCAGCACTGGCGTCTCTTATGTTCTTATGTCTTTATTGTATGGAATTTCTATGCTGAAGATGGGAAGGTGATTGTAAGCCACTCCGAGACTCCTTCAGGTAGTGAAGAGTAGGGTATAAAAATCAAAGAGTGATTCACACATGGAATTCACTGCCACAGGAGGTGGTGGCGGCTGCAAGCATTGACAGCTTCAAGAGGGAATTGGATAAATATACAGAGCAGAGGTCCATCAGTGGCTTTTAGCCACAAGGTATATGGGGACTTTCGGTCTGGGGCAAGGGATGCTCTGTATTCTTGGTGCTTGGTGGGGGGGCAATAGTGGGAGGGCTTCTAGGGTCCCGGCCCCACTGCTGGACCTCCTGATGGCACCTGGTACTTTTGGCCACTGTGTGACACAATGAGTGTTGGACTGGAGGGGCCACTGGCCTGATCCAGCACTGGCGTCTCTGTTATGTTCTTATGGCTGGGGACTCCGGCACAGTTGGGGGACTCCCCAGGCATGCAGAGAAAACACAGCTTCCAAGTCCCCAACAGAAAACAGAAGAAACACTCCGGGGGAGGGAGGCGGAGGGGGCCTGAGACACCTCAGGGGGAGGGAGCAGGCCTGAGAAGGGGGCGGCGGGTTGAGGGGGTGTGAAAAAAGGGGGGGGGGGGGGGGGCTTGGCCTGCCCATGATCCCTAACCCTAACCCCACCCCCGCTTGTTAAGGCAAACAACGAGACTGGCCCTCCAGGCCCCCTCCCGCCCACACCCTCGCCCCAAACTTACCCCTTTGCCGTAGGGATGGTTGAGCCAGCCCAGGTCCCCCTGAGACCGGGCAAAATCCAGCAGGACAACTGAAAAGGCAAAGCAAAGGCAGATCAGAACCCGAGGGGAGGGGGGAGCAGGCCACTGCCCCACAAGGCCCCCAACTGCCCCCCTCCCACCTTGGGCAGGCAAAGCAGGCCCTCTGCCGCCACCACCCCTCCGTCACGGCCCATCCTGGCAAGCTCTTTCCCCCGGAGAAGGGAGCCCGGGAGGGCCCCCCAACAAAGCAAGTTTTCAACAGCAACATTGCCCTTCACGAGAGCCCGGCACAGCCAAGGTGAAATCAGCCCCGAAAGAGGAGAACTGGGATGGGGGGCGGCGGGGGGGGGGAGACTACCAACCGCCCCCTCCAGTTTCAAGTCCCAGGAAATATCCCCTGGGGGAGGGGCCTGGAGCCCCAAGATGTGACTTCTCCTCGGCCTGCCCGGCTAAGTGCCTGGGTGGAGGCTGGCGTTCACACCCACGCAAAGTGGGCACTGCGGGCCCCGGCAGCCGAGGACAGTTTGGCTGCAGGGAGTCACACTGCCTGAGTCAAGCAGGGAACGTGTGTGTGTGTGTGTGTGTGTGTGTGTGTGCGCGCCTGCCTGCCTGCCTGCCAGCCAGCCATGACTTGAGCAACCACACAAGTAATCACAGGCGGGGGGCGGGGGGGCTCCTATGCCAGCTGGGTTCAAGCAGGTGGGCTGGGCGGCCCAGTGGCCAGAGCAGCTGTTCCCACCCCTTGTGCTGAGAGACTGGCTGCAGGGTCCTTGACCAAACAGATGCATTCGCCCCTATTGTCACCGGGGGGGGGGGGGCTTTGCAAAATCCACACATACCCCGACCAATGTCCAGGCGGTGGCAGCAGCAGCGGCAGCGGCAGCATCCCCTCTGGCTTTCCTCCTGGCCGCCCAGAGGCCCAAGCGTGCTCCCAAACCGCAGCCTGATCCCTGGCCCCCGGGGACGCCTGCTTGCCTGCCACAACCAAGGCTCCCTCCAAGCTGTGGAGTCTTCTTGTGAGCAAAAATTCTACTTCCTGAGCTCCTGGCCTTAAAGTTGTGAGGGAGCCATTTGGCTACTTCATCAATTAGTTTGCTCTGGAGCCCTCCTTCCTGAGCTGAGACAGGAATGTGTGAGCCAGAGGCTAAAAAACAGTGAGCTGGCTCACACTCACTCAGCTGAGAGGGAACACTGGCCACAACCACAGATGCCCACCCTGTCCCTAGGCCGCTGGGCAGCTCTGAATGCCCACTTTGGCTGCCAGCTCCACCCAGGACGGGTCGGCTGGGCTTCCCTTGCGCAAAGCCAGCCAGCCGTGGGGCACACGAGACACAAAGGCAGCGCACCAGGGTGGCGCTCAAGGGCATCACGCGCTCCCCCCACTCCAGCCTCCCGGGCTTTGCTTGGAAAACAGCTAGACCCAGTTCGGTGTTGATACCGCTCGCTCGGGGTGTGGTGTGAAGCATTCCACAAGAAGCAGCAGTGGCTGCCACCTGAGGAAAACTAACTGCAGAGGGCTCCCCTCGACCAGCCCCTGAAGAGCC